AACAAATGCTCGATAACATGGTCACGCTCAACCAGAGCATTGTGAGGATGGAGGAGCAGCGGCAAGCAGACTGGCGTAGGTATGAGGAAGACAGACGGAGATCTGAGGAGGATCAGCGTAGAACCTTTGGTCCGATATACTCATATATAGCACATCAGGGCTCCTTTTCCTCTATGACCACTCCACCTCCTGCACCATCATGGTATGACCCCTCTCAGTGGGATTTCTTTGGAGGATCGAGCTCCGGTGGTGGAGGCTACGATGGTGGTTATGGCGGGGATCACATGGATGAGGACGGACACCAAGGTGGAGGTCTAGGCGGACACTAGGGACAGTGTCAGATCCTAAGTGTGGGGGTGAAGAGATCTTCCCGGTATGTTCACATTCACACTCTTTATTCTTGTTATCTCAAAAAAAAACGAAAGCTTGTTGAGTTGAAAACCCACAAAGGGCAGCTTAAGCAAAAATAAAGCAAAAATAAGAGTGAGTTTGTGAGATTTGAGAAAAATTAAAAAAATAATAAAAATAAAAAAATGTGGGAAGCTGGGTTGAAAACCTGAAAGGGCACCTAGGCAAAATGAGAGAATGAGAGAAAGTTATTTCTTTTGATTTTGCAGGATCCTGAGGGCGATTACTATTGAGAGTTCGGATTGAAATTGAAGACCCATCTTTACTCTTTTTGTTTTGGAGATACTTTATGTATTTGTTATAAACACTTGTGGATGTTGGTGCTGCTACTCTTGTCATTTAGGACTTCTTGGATTTGATTTGATTTACTCGAGACGAGTAAAGGTTTAAGTGTGGGGGTGTTTGATGCACACTAATTAGTAGTGCATAATTACATGTTTTTATGTTTGATTTATGTTAATTGTTTGACGTTTTATTTAGTGTTTAAACATTTATGTGATTTCAGTTGTAATTGTATCTTAGTCTTTATTTGTCAGTTGTAAAGTTTAGTTAGGATTTGTGGTTTTGGAAAGGGAGACTTTGAAGTAAAGAAAAAGAAGATTTGGCTGCCCAGGAGCAAACACCCGACCGGGTATAATACTTGACCCGGTCGGGTAAGAAGTGAAAAACGAAAATGCAAAGAAAGTGCATGGCCCGGTCGGGCCCACTACCTCACCCGGTCGGGTGAGAAGTGACCGGGGACAACCCGGTGTGCAAAGATCACCCGAACGTGAAGAATATCCAATTTTTGCACTCACCCGGTCGGGTCCCCTACCCCACCCGGTCGGGTCTGACTTGACCCGGACACTTTAACATGCTGAAGATCGCCAGAACGTGGAGGATATTTGATTTTGACATGGACCCGGTCGGGTGAGTACTTGACCCGGTCGGGTACCCGGCCAAAGGTGTTGAAAAACACCTATAACTAGCACACTTTTTCTTCACAAAAATCATCCCTTCTTCCAATCTCTTTAGCTCAGTTTAGAATAGCATTTCTTTATATTTTTCTAGCTATGTTTAGTCTCCAAATGAGGAGCTAAACTTCCATTCTTGGTGTTGCTCTTGAAGCTTGTTGATTATTAAAGTTGTGAGTTATTTTCTTAACTTCTTTCCTTGAATATTAATTAATAGTTCTTTCCTTAATACCATCTCTATATTTATGTTGGGGAGTGTTGCTAAGATGACAATTAGTTAACATCTTGATATTAATTATAGTAGGATTCATCTTCTTTAATAATATTCTTCCTTGAATATTAATTAATTCCTACTCTTATTTCATATTAATATTTTGAACATTACTTAAAGGATCAACTAGTTTTGTTTCATATATTAATTATTACTAGAAACGATCAACGAACCGATGGTTAATCGTTGATGGTTTCACAAGTAAGTAACTTCGGTTTATTAATGCACGGTCGTGGTTAATAAACTTAAGAGGGATTAATTTTGTTGGTTAAACCGAAACCGCTTGTGTTGAGGTTATCAATCTCAATTGATTTCATCAAGGAGTTAGAAAGATTAAATGCTACTATTAAATCGGTATAAGGCGTTGTTCTATATTTGATTAATAGTAAGGGTTATTAATGAACGGTCGTTGTTAATAACTACCCTCGATGAAGTGGATATACTCCCCGATTGAGTATTCGAGAGGGAATAAGTTATAGATATAACAATGATCGACTGAAATATATCAACAAGTGGAAAGTAGCAATGCCAAGTCCTTTTTATCTTTGAATTAAACACATATAGGTTGTTCATCTTAGTTCTTAATTAAATTAAATCACTCAATCCAAATCCCCCCTTTTACTAAGTATCATAAAAAGAGAAATATTCCTTTCCTTGTGGATACGAACTCTACTACGCTATAATACGTATAAGTGTTTAGTATTGAATTTATTTTGACGCACCGTGACAAAGTGCTCGTTAGAAATCTTGCCTCATGAAAGGTAACATCCTTAGAGATGTAGATTTTGCCAGAAGAGGAGAGGCATTTATAGCCTTTGTGCTGAGGTGAGTAACCTATAAAGATGCACTCTTCTGAATGAAAGGCCATTTTATGTTTGTTGTAGGGTCTAATGAATGGATAGCAAGAACAACCAAATACTTTTAGTAGAGAGTAATCTAGATTGGTTCCATGGAGTTGAAAATATGGACTTGAGTTGGCAATGGAAGTGGATGGAGTTCTATTGATAAGATAAACTGAGGTGGAGAAGGCAGCATCCCAAAATTTTAAAGGTAATGAGGAATGAGCAAGAATGGAAAGGCCTTTCTCAACTATAGTCCTGTGTTTTCTTTCCACAACACCATTCTGGTGATGTGTATGTGGACAAATAAGCCTATGTGTTTTTCCATTCTCAACAAGAAAGGTGGTAAGGGATCTGAACTCACCTCCCCAGTCAGACTGGACAGATTTGATGGATTTGGAAAATTGAGTTTGAACATATTTATGGAAGTTCTGAAAGGCTGTTATGGCATCAGATTTCTTCTTTAGAAAATATATCCAAGTATATCGGGTACATGCATCAATGAAGGAGATGTAATATGAATATCCATCAAATGAATACATGGGGACTGGGCCCCATAAGTCTGTAAAGATAAGATCAAATGGGGATTTATAGACAGTATGAGATGAGTGTGAGGGTAGTCTGTGAGCCTTACCAAGACAACAAGAAGAATAGAATGAAACATCACTTTTATTTATGCCAGACACATTACAAGTGTTGAGTACAGATTTCAGTGCTTCCAAATGTGGATGGCCTAATCTTAGGTGCCAAACATTACAAGAAACTGAGGCATTATTACAAGAGGTAGACGCATTATAAGTGGAAACAAAAGAAAGGGGATACAAAGGGGTGTTTGTTGTGGACACTATTGAGGTAGACAGACTTGCATCTTTGAATTGATGTAAACCAAGAGGAGGTATGGACTGGAACTTGTATAAACCATCAGCACCAAGAACTCCATGTAGAAGAACCTGTTTAGAAGCCTGGGATTTGACATAACAATCATAAGGATGGAATTCAAAGAAAACATTGTTGTCTTTAGCAAATTTACTAACACTCATGAGATTTTTGGTTATAGAAGGGACATGAAGCATATTAGTTAACATAAGAGACTGAGACATAGAATAGGGAGATAGAAAGGAAGAAAAACCAATAGATTTGATATCCACACATTGACCATTACCCATAAAGAGGTTCACTGTGCTGAAAATTGAGTGGATCAGCAGTCACATGGTGAGTAGCACCTGAATCAGGGAACCATTGTTGAGAAGATGGAGGTGGTCCAAGAACAGAGTTTGTACTAAAAAATGCTGCAGATGGTAGAGGTCTGGCTGAGTGCTGATCCCAATTGAAAGTCTCTTGAGCTGTAGATTGATGGTTAGGAAGATGCCCAAGAGCTGAAGAGCTGAAGTGTTGAGGTATATTCTGTCTTGGAGTATAGTAGGGTGAATGGTTGAAGTGAGATGGAGTATATGAATTAGGTGCTTGTGAGTTACAGTGACTTGAAGGTCCATAGTTAGAATTGGTGTAAATTGGATTAGGGTTTGGATAGGTAAAATTAGGATTGTAGCGATGATGACAAATTAGGGCATGATGTCCAGACTTTCCACACACCTGACATATTACTGAGCTTCGATTTCCAAAACGACCACCTCTACCTCTGTTTGGGCCTCCACGACCTCTTCCTCTATACGGATTCGACTGATTAGGGTTATGAAATTGTGCCATATTTGCAGAAGAAGATTCGGTTGCTGTGACAATTTCTGAACTGGAGGTTTGAGATGTGTTTTCAGTATGAGCGACATTAGCAGAAAAAATAGCAGGAGTAGTTGCTTCACGATGCTTTTTCAGACGCATTTCTTTGAGTAAAAGCTGAGGTTCAAGTTCTGAAACAGTTATCGGATCAAGGAGGCTACGAGAGGATACAAATGATACAATAGATTCATATTCCTCTGGAAGTCCCTCAAGGATAACATTCACATGTTCTTTAGTGGAAATTGGCTCACCAATCAAACTCAGATTATCAACAGTTGTTTGAATCCGAAGAAGATATTCTTCAATCGAGCGATCTCCTTTACCAGTATTGTAGAGCTCGGATTTGAGCTGGTGTGCTTTCGCAGTGAGATTTGATTGGAAAAATTTCCGAATCGTACTCCAAAGCTCGTGCGAACGTTGACAATGAATTACGCGAGCATGAAGTGATTCCGATAGAGAGGAAAGAAGCCATGAGAAAAGCATCTGATCCTGTTGTTCCCATACAGCATATTCATCGTTGATTGTCCTGGTTCCGTCATCGCCATTGATGAACTGAGCTGGAATCTTCGGATTTTCCACAAATTGCAACAATTTGTGTGCTCGAATGATGGATTCGATATGATGCTTCCAAAGCAGAAAGTTGTTTGAACCAAGTTTGATTGGGAGAGGATGCGTGAATACAGCTGGAAACGTGATATTCCCAGCTGCGGAAGAAGAAGATGTCGTAGAAGTTGAATTTGTCATGGTAGATCGAGCTCAAAGCTCTGATACCATATTAGAAAAGTAGCCAGAATATAAAATGAAGTAGAAGGATTTTCATTAATCACATAATACCAGTACATCAGTATTTATAGAGAAGTGGTATAACCAACTTGTAACTGAATCTAAACAACTTGACTAACTATAACTGGCTAACTGAATACTAGGCTTATTACACTATTCGTAGATATAGTATCTCTAACAAGGTCAGCCCCCAAGATGATGCAGTCAGTGAGTCACACAAAACCACAACAGCAGGGATGAAAGGAATCCTCTCTGATCATCAAGCCAACTACACACCTGCCTGTAAGTTGTGTCACGTTGCCTCATGATGTAGCATTTGCAGATCCTTGTAACACGTTGCAACCAACAGCAATCTTGCGAAAATCATCAAGTCTCAGCTGTAATATGAAGAACATACAAAGATCAAAACAATTATCCACATATAAGTAACTCCCATTCAATTTGATGATGAGGGCATACGCAACATTGAGCTAGTAACAGACTTTTGATCTCTAGTTCCCTCTTCCCAACTTGAGCTAACCTCACTCGTGTTCATCTCATATGATTACTAATAAAACGTCAAAAAAAGCAGAACGATGGCAAATGTAAAGACTAACACAATTCAATGCGTGTGCTTGTTCATCGACAAATGTGTAGGTACTCCCCTGCCAAATAATAATAGGTATTTACATCACTTCCTTGCCTAATCCCGCCTATTAGCCTAACATCTATAATCTCCCCCCCCCCCCCCCCCCCCCAATAAGGCCCCGCCAAGGCATTGGGACCATGTGCTGCCTGCACAGCACACTATCGAAACATTTATTTTTCTTTTCTAATTTTTTAGTGCCTCCTTATTCTTTTGTTTGCTACACTTTCCTTTTTGGAATGTATTTTAATTTTTGCTACACTTCCCTTTTTGGGTAAGTTTCTTCTTTCAAAATACTAAATTACCCCCTAGTTTTTCTCCTTTTCATCTTCTCTTTCATACTTTTCCACCTCTCGTACCTTTTCTACACTATTCATTACCCCTACTACTTTTCCCTTAAATATTGTGGCAAACCCTATTGTAGCAAACAATAGAATACGGATGGGGTATGTGAATGTGCCTAACTAAGCAAGCTAATGTCAGCCCAGTTTCTCTTCATTCCATTGTGACTAAAAACAAGTGAAATGAAAGGCCATGACTATCAAAGATTTAGTGAAGACCTTTCCATCACCATCACCATCAAAGAAGTGTATCATGTCTCTCAGCTCTTCCTCGGACCATAAAAAGTCATGTGATGCTGCTACTCTTTGTAAATCTCTTAAACCTATGCTTCCTTTTCCAGATTCTGCAATGCATTGTCTCGATTGATCAGTGGCACAAAAAAACTGTATTGTCAGTCCGTTTAATTATTATTCATTTCCATCATTTGCAATGGAGCCAAAGATTCATTATTTTTTGGCTTGAGATTATGATGGAATAAAGCAAAATGGCTCACTAAACTGTCTGCGCTTCTTTGTTATGGAGCAACAGTCAGTCCATGCAATTTTGAACGCGATTTTCACTATGGATCATCTGGAAACAATCTCTCTGTGCTTTAGTACAGGGGTAAGACTGCGTACATCCGACCCCCTCTTACCCCACCGTAGGTGGGGGAGTTTTTGCGGCACTGGGGTAAATGAAAATGAAAATGAAATGATTGATGCACTGGTTGTGATCCATTAGTCACTTGGTAATACTATAGAGAAGCATGAAGCAATATATAAATTATTCATTACAAGAATTATATCAAGGTCAACTGTCATCCTAATTCTTGAATAAAGAAAGATTAGATAGAGTTTAAACTCATTGTCGGCATGTCAGCATGCATTTGAATGTGGTGCAATGCAGAAATGGAGTTACTCAAAAAATCATCACATCAGGGTCATTGGGTGTGTGGATATGAGTTGTGCCTAATACAACATACAGAGATAGAAAGCTGACCAAGTTATATTAGATTCCATCAAGTGACACTATTCTGCCATATTCTCCTGTTACATGGTTGCATTGATAAGCACAGCAACTCCCTATACTAATTTGGTTTTTTATTTATAAAAGCACACAAAGCAATCATATGATTATCTAGAGTATTCATATTAGTAGCTATTGGAATCTAGAGATGGTCCAGACTTGAAAAAACTTGTATAGTAGCAACACATCAAGTAAGTTCAAAAGAGTAATAATTTTTGCACTTAAATCAACCATAGCTTTAGTAATTTTTAACTTAAAATAGAATCGTCATAAAGCAAACACTAGTAATTACCATCAAACTGAAAGAAGTGTAAAATGAGTTCATCTTCAGTCATTTGCACTCGATTCCTGATCTGTTCATAACAAAGGAAACATTGGGACAAGCTAGCAGTTTATATAAGATACAGAGAACAAAGGAGATATGAACTCATATGCAATAGCTGCAGCAATACAAAAAAAAACTTCAAAAAAAACATGCAGCGAATATATGTCAAAATGGATTTACGAACCGTTTGTTTTCTCTTCCTCTTTCCTTTTCCTTCTACGGTGTTGGAGTCTACTTTCTTCACTCTACACTTCTCGTCCATGATATGAGCACCATCACTTTTAGCAGGTTTTTTGCTAACATCTAAAAAACCGGCAGAATCTTGTAGTGATAGAGCAATTGCCTACAAAATGAACTAATATAGTTCAGTATGACAGACAATTTTTAGAAATATAGGAAAATAATTATAGTCCAATTGGAACTATTGAACTTTCTACATGTACCTGCATCAAAGCATCATCATCCATGAAATCTGATTCACTAAGAGGCTGTTTGTTCAGGGCTCTCTTCTTTAGAGGTAAACGTATTTTCTTGGACTGTGTACGACACTCAAAGGGGTAAAAGTTAGAAAATGGGTGTCATTAATATCATTGCATGGAAACGACAGAAACTTTTGCATTCAAGTTATTGGGACAAGAAAAAGTTAAATTACTGCTGGGTGTTGAGAGGACGTTTGTCATGTCCTGGATACATTTTGGCCCATATGTTTAATCTTCTAATGCAGTCAGTTATAAGCTGAAAATATTAGTTTCGGTATACAGGTATCGGAAACTAGATTTCCTAGAGGTCTAAGTTGGCTGATGAATGCCCTCCCCTGATAAAATCATAGGGCTGGAAAACTGGAGTCGGTCCATTTTCTCCTAGAAACTTGGCAACGCCTTTTTCATTTGGGTTTTTAAACTGACACAAATTTAGCTTTTTATAAACCAATTCAAAACAAGACATTCAACGTCAATCATTCATCAAATGCAGAGTTGGATGCTTTTATAGAGTTAGCACCACAGAGCACATACATTCTGCATTTATATCATTCAAGTGTTCGCCTTTACAAACATTTTCACACTTAGGTTATACACTAATATACTACGTATTCACCATTTTACTTGGAGTAGATGAGTAGAAGACCAAATCAAGATTAATAAGATACCTTTATTGAATCAGACTTGGAAACCCCATCCTCATTCCCATCTTCTTCACCTGAAGAACTCAAACCGTCTTCACCTTCAGATGGCTTGTATTCATCATCTTCCTCCTCGCCCACCTTTTTTTTGCCTTTGTTGCCAGCAATTTTATTTTGAGCCTTTGGAAGCGAACCCATTAAGGAAGTTGTCATTTTGCGAAGTCCCAATGCCTCCATTCTGGCATTGTTCTCTTCGATTCTCTTCAATCTTTGTTTCTCGTAGTCTGAAATTTGTTCCTTTGCCGGAGTTTCTATTGCAGGTTGCTCAGAGTCTGAGCATGACTCGGGGTTCTTCGACTCAGCCTCAGGCGAGTCCGAAGATACAGGACTCGACATTTTCTCCGACGAACTAACGATCAGGCGTTAAATTTCTGATAAGGATTGTGAAATTTGAAAGAGGATGGTTATATGCTTGGTAGGGTACCCAACAAAAATAGGAAGGTACCATACCAAATTTTTGATTGGTCCATACCATCAAGGTACCATACCTTCAAAGTATCATAGTAGGATCCATTCATTTTTAATGTTGAATCCTCCACTGTAAAAATGAAAAACTATTGGGAAGTTTGTCCATATGACTCCATAAGAGTGCCTATATTGTAGGACTGTATACGGTGAGCACCCTATACCGTTATAGAGATTTATATATTTTTTCCTTTTGTTTTTAAAAAATGGTAATAACTTTTTTATTTTTAATCCGATTTTTATAAAATTTATATCAACATTTTTTATTTTTCATGATCTTTCAAATGAGACCAATATTGCCTATGTAATTAACATATTAACATTTGCGTGTAAAATATGTAACTTTAGGTGTTAAAATATGTAACTCACGTTCAGTCAGGCCAAATGCAACTCGTGTGTATAAATATGTATCTCTACGTGTAACAATATGTAACTTTACGTAAAAAATATGTAACTCGCGTTCAGACAGGTCAAATGCAACTCGTGTGTATAAATATGTAACTCGTGTGTATAAATATGTAATTTTACGTGTAAAAATATGTAACTTTACGTGTAAATATATGTAAGTCGCGTTCAGGCATGTCAAATGCAACTCGTGTTTATATATATGTAACTCGCTTATAAAAAGATGTAACTTGCTTATAAAAAGATGTAACTTGCTTATAAAAAGATGTAACTTGCTTATAAAAAGATGTAACTCGTTCATAAAAAGATGTAACTCAATGTATTATCAAATGTAACTGAGGCCACTGATCCACTCCTAAACAGATTCAATCTTCTATTTCACAAACCTATCATCTCCCAAACAGATTCGATTTTCCTTATAATCCAATACTCATTAATATAATAGTTCGATAATTTCTTAACATTACATAAGCAATATTGGTCTCATTTGAAAGATCATGAAAAATAAAAAATGTTGATATAAATTTTATAAAAATCGGATCAAAAATAAAAAAGTTATCATCATTTTTTAACAACAAAAGCAAAAAAAAAAACGATGTTGCGTCGTTTTGCAACCGGGCGCACCATCCTCATGGTGCGCCGGTTGCACGGTATAATTTGCCCTCCATAAGTCTGTCCACAAGTAGGCATGTCAATGGGTCGGGTCCGGGTGGGAACGTAATGTTTCAGACTCGGACCCGCTAAATTAATAATGGACCCAGACCCGACCCGTTTACCAGTGAGTCTGAAAATTTGGACCTTGACCCAGACCCAACGGGTCTCGGAATCGGGTTGGATAGACCCGCCCGCCAAGTATGATATGCACACCATTATAAACTTTGTGAAATATACATCAAAAAATAAAGTGTACAAATTTAAAAACAAAATATATCTTCACTTTTCAAAAAAAAAAAAATAAAGGTCTCTCATAGAAAATTAGTACTTTTATCTAATAAAGTATCGGTTTTGTAGAGGCATATAGCTCCACACTTTGCGCCGCTTTCTCTCGCACAAAAAACTCGTAGAATAAACTAGAAATTAAGTCATAAAAAGGTCTCTTGGACTACTAAGAATATAAAATCATATGTAGTATTATATATGATAATGATATAATAATATTAATAATAATAGTAATAAATATTAGTTTTAGGGTATCTTACTATCTTAATCAATATCACTTATATACTCCGTAGTAATTATGTATTAATGTGTATATTTTTATAGAATAATCACAAATTCACAACTAATAACTTTATGTATTATTATGTATATATGTATATTAGTTTCTATTTTATTTAAAGTGTTATAACTAATCACTTTATGTTTGAGTGTATGTGTATACAAATAAGAAATTGTAAACGGGTCCGGATCCTTAACGGGTCGGAATCATATGTACCATACCTGACCCGTTTATTTAAAATACTAACGGGTCTGGATCCGGGTCCGAGTAAACGGAATAAAATATAGACCCGTACCCATTAAAAACAACTGAGTCCAGGTCGGGTCCGGGTCTAGACCCGACCCATTGACAGGCCTATCCACAACGCTAGAAGTGTAAAATCCATATCTCGTGAATAACATTTTTACATCTAAATTTGTAAATCTATATTTTTAAAATATAGGTCAGAAATAACAAAAATATAATAAACTCTAAATTTGTTTATTTTTACATCGAAGTGTTTGACTATTTAAATCATAATTATTGATAAAAATAAAATTGTCACATAAACGATTTGTATTAAAATGTAAGGATTTGTGCATTTAGTTAAAACAATATGTGCTGAGTCAATATACTGACGATGCTGGGTTGCAGAAGAAAATTGGATTAATTGGATGAATACGTATAAAATGATAGGGTATTAGATTTATTGACGGGCTAGATTGTGATTAGCCCAAGAGAGTCATATGGTACTCTATAAAATTTTCGGAATATATCCCCGTATAAGGTTGATTGGATTCTCCAGGCGCGCAAATTTTTTCTGACACCCTTAAATTACTAGGAAGCGTATATCATACAGTCGGATGTACTACAGTCGGATGTATGGCTGACATCGTGCAACCATGGCAAATTTGTAATTTTGGTGAAAATAATTGTTTCTCTTAAATGAGCATTATGCAATTGTGATGAGCATTGAGTTTGTTCTTTTGAGTATTGGAAGTCTAACAATGAGCACCAGTGATATCTGTTTCAAATCATCTAATTCAATTTCTTTTTATTACTCCGTATTTTTTTCCGCTTATAAAAATTCTTAAATTATGTTTATAATCAATTTCAATTAATTTCAATATGTGAATCTAATGTAGTATTATACATTTGAAATGTGAAACATTTTAAAATGAGCATAAAGCAGTACCAAATGAGCACACATAACTTACAAAATGAGTATCAAATAATTCAAAATCTCATTTGTGTAAGCTCATTCAGTTTGGGCATTATATTCATTTGAGTTTAACATAAAAGTCATTTTCAATGTGCTCAATATTAATGTGTGTGAGTTCATTTCTTTTAGGCGTATACTCATTTGAGTTTAATATAAAATCATTTGAGATCAATAGCAAGAAGGATTCCTCAGCAATGAATTAGACTCCTTTGTCTCCCAAAATCACAATCTCAAACAGCAAAACTGCGTCAGAAAAAGAGAAAAAGAAAAAGAGTGAAAAGAAAGACAGAGGAGGAGAGGTAACTATGGTGGAGCTAGAACCGCTACGTTTGTGCCGGAGAAGAAGGGGCAAGTGGTGAGAGGCGGCGACGAGCAGAGAGCTGAAGGAGAGGGGGTGAATGTCGGCGACAGTGAGCCTCGTGCGAAGTCAGATTGAAGAAGCAAGCACAATTGGAGAAGTTTGGTGCGAAGCTTTGTGCGAAGGCGGGGCATAGAAGCCTGATGCGAAGGCCAGGTTGAAGAAGCGCATAAGTCCAATAACGTCATGCTGTACCGTGCGCATGGTACAACCGGTTGTAGGATGTATTTACCAAATTACTACTTCCTATTACTACCTCCGTCCCAAATTGATTTGCAAATTTGACTTTTCTTGATCAAACAATTTCATTTTATTAGCTTAATTAGGATGTCAATTTGTAATTATATTCTAATTCGGGATTTGCGACTTTGATGAGTTTTTAATATAATATCTGAATATGTAAATTTTAATTATTAAAAATTGAATTAATTATCGATACGGAACATTGACTTTTATTATTGGTTGACAAAAAATGTTGACTTTACAAAACAATTTTGAAAGGAGGGAGTATGTTTTAAGCCATAAATGTGATTAGAAACACTAGGATGTCTTACCTCAACTAGCGCAACATTCTGGGCATACTCGGAGTCTCGGATAATGTCAAGTTGATTGACATTTTAGAGTCCTTCCAGAGCAAGGTTACTTGCTAAACTTATTTCCCAAAAGTATTTACCATATACATATATATATATATATATATATATATATATATATATATATATATATATATATATATATATATATATATATATATATATATATATATATATATATATATATATATATATATATATATATATATATATATATATTATATATATATAAAGCTGGTTACCCCGTTTGTTTTGCCCCTGTTTTTGATGTCCCTGAGAATCTGACTGAAAGTGGTAGCCAACCTGAGGCTGAAACTGTTGTTGTAACCCCTGTTGTTACAACTCCATGTGATGTATGAAATCATAATTTAAATGTCACATTATATTTGTATTCATACGTGTATTATTATTATAGTACACATGCATGTATATCTATCCTTGATTTGTGTAGTTAGTTATGGGTAGAGCTTATCACTTTCATTAGCTTGTATCACACGTATGTGTATAAATACTCCCATGTACATTCATTTTGAATATATACAAAACATACAATTCTACATGGTATCAAGAGCCATTCTCTAAAGAGCTTCTTTTCAATCCTCATTAATTTTTTTTCCCGGCTAGTTTATCTTTTGATAATCATGGTCATCACCACCGAAACAACTGTCATCCCGCTCACTGCTTCGGCAAATTTCCCCATCAAGCTTACTTCTTCCAACTTTCCGGTTTGGAAATGCCAAGTCCAATCTGCTCTCATCGGGCTAGGGCTTGAAGGCTATGTGGATGGCACCATCACGCCTCCCTCTCAGTTCACCGATGCTCTCAAGACGGTTTCAAATCCGTGTTACACCATCAGGTATCGTCAGGATAAAACTCTTCTGAGTGCTCTCCTTGGAAGTTGTTCTGACACGATCCAACCTCTCATCTCGTCTGTCACAACAGCACGCATGGCTTGGGAAAAACTTGCCAATACTTATGCTAGCAGCTCTCGTGGGAGAATTATTTCTCTCAAATCTACCCTAGCTCGTACCACCAAGGGTGATCGTGCAATCAAGGACTATCTCACGGAGATGTATTCCATTGCTGAAGATCTTGCATTGGCGCAGTGCCCGGTCTCTGACGAAGATCTGGTCATCAGCATTCTCAACGGACTTGGTGCGGACTATAGGGACCTCCTATCGGCTATTCGTGTACGTACTACTGCGCTGCCCTTGACTGAGCTCCAGGATATCTTGTTGGAGCGTGAGAAACTCCTGCATGATCAAGAAACAGCTGCACCGCCCGTCCTCCCTACAGCCAACTTCACACAGGCGGCGGAACGCGGCCATGATCGCCGACCAATGAATGGTGATCGCCGTGGATCTCAAAACCGTCGTGGTCGGGGAGGTCATTTCACGTCCGGTAATCGTGGATCCAGTACTACCCTCATCTGTCGGTTCTGTGACAATGTTGGGCATGATGTCAAACACTGTAGGAAGCTGCAACGGTTCTTAAAGGACAATCATGTACCGTATCCATCTCACCCGGCCGGACCAGTTGCACATCATACATCCACTGTGATGTCTCCCAACAATCAATCTTGGCTCTTTGACAGTGGAGCATCACACCACGTTGCTTCGGATGCTTCAGTGTTACCAACATATACTGATTATGGTGGCCCTGAAGAGGTTCGCCTCGGCGATGGTAAGTCACTCCGGATTACTCACACTGGTACCACTACCCTAAACACCCACTCTCGTCCTCTTAAACTATCCAGTGTTCTATGTGTGCCCCGCCTTAACAAAAATCTTATTTCTTTTGCTAAACTGTGCAAAACTAATCGTGTGTCTATTGAATTTTTTCCGACTCATTTTCTTGTCAAGGATCTGACCACGGGGGCGCCGCTCATGCGCGGGGAGAACATGCATGATGTCTACTATGCACCATCCTCTGTCTCACCGTCAATAAATCACACTCAAGTTTCTGATGTTTCCGGGTGGCATCATATTCTTGGTCACCCAGCTCGTCGTATACTCAATCATGTAATTCATCACAATAATAATGAAATTCGTTGTACTCAATCTTCGGATTTTCATTGTTCCTCTTGTTCTGTTAATAAAAGTACTAAATTACCCTTTTCAATTAATTCCATGTCTGCAACTCGTCCACTTCAACTTATTTATTCTGATGTTTGGAGTACCAATATTGAATCAGTTGATGGTTACCGGTATTATGTCATTTTTGTGGATTTTTTTTACTCGCTACATTTGGTTATATCCACTTAAATCCAAAGGGGACGTAGCCAAAATATTTCCACAATTCCACAAACTAGTGGAGAAGTATTTTAATCACACCATCATTTCCCTATTTTCTGATAATGGAGGTGAATTTATTAAACTTCGTCCCTATCTGAGTACACATGGCATATCTCATTTTACCACACCTCCTCATACTCCAGAACATAATGGCTTAGCGGAGCGCCGTCATCGTCACATTGTTGATACGGGACTTGCGCTACTTCATTATTCTGGTCTACCTCTCTCATACTGGTCATATGCAGTCCAAACCGCAATGTATCTCATTAATCGTCTACCCACGCATGTTCTAAATAATAATTCACCTTATTCTCGGCTATATCAAAATCAACCTAAATATTCCAAACTCCGTCCTTTTGGCTGTCTATGTTACCCATGGTTACGTCCCTACTCCGAGTCAAAAATTCATCCTCGATCGAGTCTGTGTATTTTTGTTGGGTATTCCACCTCCCAATCTGCTTATTTATGTCTTGATATTAATAATAATAATCGAGTCTACGTAAGTCGGCACGTAACATTTGTGCCAAATATTTTTCCACTTCGGTCCGCGTCTGCCGCATGTAGTCCTCTGTATGTTCTCCCAGGTGCAAATCCGTCTCTCCCCATGCATGCATGCATGCAAACCGCTCGTACATCCGATAACCCGCACCTATTCTCGCGAATTCAAAATAATTTGAATTCCAACTCCCGTCCAATTTTAAATCCACCTTATCCTCCTAAAACTACTCCACCGCCTAACTCCTCTACCTTATCCCACCAAGCCCACGTGCAAACCAACCCCACTAACAATAATTCAAATTTCAATTCTCCTCCTAATAACCAACGGTTGACCTTATCTCTCCCACCCCACTTTGCCTCACATGCCAACAACTCCCATTTATCCACAACCACCCACGTGTCCACCCCCTCACCACACAACACCAATTTGTCAACACCCTCTACCACTCCCATATCTCCAAGCCCGCCACGTACCCACACCCATCAAGCCTCATCAGTCAATCCTCGTCCACCCCGCATACGTAAACCCAATCCCAAATATGTTGGCGGACCATTTATCAACCACACTACCAAACATCCCATACCTCCTGCCCTTGAACCCACTAGTGTGAAGCAAGCTCTGAGTGACCCACGCTGGAAGGCCGCCATGGAAGAGGAGATGAGTGCTCTTACTCGTAACAACACATGGCAACTTGTACCGTCGGATGGTCACACACCTATTACATGCAAATGGCTTTTCCGGATAAAGCGTCATGCAGATGGTAGTATAGCAAGATTTAAAGCCAGACTAGTGGCTAGAGGATTTCTTCAGCAACCGGGCCGTGATTACTTTGAAACTTTTAGTCTGGCTTTACATCCCTGATTTTTTTACCAATTAACAATCCTATTGTTGCTCCAGCATTTGTTGACAATTCTGTGATTTCAGCCGTGGTTTGTGACCCAGTTACTCCTGTGGTTGCTCCGGCTGTTATGGACTCTTCAAATAATAATGCAGCCCTAATTTGTGACCCAGTAACTCATCCTCTGGTCACTCCTGCTGCTGTTGACAACTCTGAAATTGCAGACCTGGTCGGTGACCAAGTGGTTAATTCTGTGGTTCCTCCGGGAGCTACTAATGACCCAAAAAGTGCCCCTGCGGTAATAGATTTTAGAGTATGCGGTTTGAGCAACCAACATCTGGTCACCAGCCATACTTCTACTACCATTGATGCTGTTGAATCTAATATTGAAGTTGATACAACAATGCCAAGAGCCGGCAACACTGCCAGCGAAGAACTTCTTGATGCTCATAGAATTGCCCCTGTGATTTCTGGGGTTCCTGTGGATGCAAAGGTTTACACACCTTCTGATAACCAAGTCCCTAAGTTTGCTGATGGAAAACATGCTGCCCTTGAAACATCTGATTATGATGAACCCCGGTGGCTACCTGTAAAAAGGCGGTAACCGCGGAAGTTCAAACTATAAGTGTTGGTCCTCATCTTGGAATCCCGAATCATGCTAAATTTGGAAATGAAGATGATGGAGTATATGGGTCCAGGCCCCGGGACCCACATACTCAGAAGAACAGAAAGTACAAGCCACTAAGTGGTGCCCTCATCGGCCAGAGGACCCCCGTCGGCCGAAGAGGGACCAACTCAGAATATGATCCCAAAGCCAGGGAACCAGGGTGTCCTCGTCGGCCGTGCCCTCATCGGCCGTGTCCTCGTCGGCCAGACCCTCTTCGGCCACGAGAGCCTCACAGAATCAGATCTTACACTTAATCATTTCTACACACATTGTATTCGGCCCAATAACGGTCCAATTGTAAATGGGCCTCCCAAGCCCAAGGCTTGGGAGCCCAACCCGTATTTTTCCTATAAATACTTCCTCTGGAGGTAGTTGTAGGGGTGACAAAATCATTCTATTGAAGCATTTACTTGCACTTCTCTCTCTAGCTCTCACTTCTCTCTAGATATATACTCTATCAGAAGAACACAATTCTGATCCATCTTTAGCAACTACTTACACTGCTGATACTACACACCATCCACCCATGTCCAATGATGATAATATATCTGAGGACACCCCCTTATTACAGACTTTTCTAATGCAGGTAATATACATCTACCACCACAGGTAGACCTAGACGACTTTACTCCGGTGAAGGCAAAGAAAAATAGAGGGAATAGTGCCATGACCCCAACCGCAACTCCGGAAGCAAAACAACTATTCTACGAGGTGGGATACACATCACACCCGATGATTACAAGAAGTCAATCCAGACGCCCGCAAGATGAAGATGACTATTACATTTACCCTGTTGATGTAAGGCTGGAATCTCCACACAAACTGGCTATGACACTCACGCGATATAGTTCTTCTAAACCGGAAGCAAAAACCTACCAACCCTATCTCCGAAAGGCTATTCAGTTCCATAATAGATATAACATATCAATTTCGGCTACATTCGGGATACCTTCAAAAAACTTCAACTGTTAAACCTATGTTTACTCTTTCAGCTTTTGATTGTATGCTTTTTCTTATTAGTACCGTTTCTTAAACTCTCTTGTAATCACCTTATTATTAACAAATTAGGGTAGTGTTCCCCGGCACTCCCTCCACCACGTGTGGTTATTTCCGGGAAATATATATATATATATAGAGAGGGATATGCATGTGCGGATGGACGGACCAGAACCGCCGTGCGGCCGGCAGCGTTTTGCCTCCTTCCCGATAGAATTTTTTGATGAAATTTTTACGGTATGTTTTTCATCAAGTCTACTTTATCCACAAAAATATTCAGCTCACAATTCGATCTGGAAGGCCTTCAAATGATTTTTTGAAGTTGACTGCATTTTTCTATGCATAATTTGGCGCAGTCAACTTCAAAAAAATCATTTGAAGGTCTTACAGATCGAATTGTGAGCTGAAATTTTTTGTGGATAAACTAGACTTGATGTAAAACACGCTATAAATATTTCATCAAAAAAATCCATCGGGAAGGTTTCCAAAAGCCGTCGGCCGGACGGCACCTCTCGTGCGGCCGGACGCACCAGATCATCACTCTCTCTCTCTCTCTCTCTCTATATATATATATATATATATATATATATATATATATATATATATATGTTCAAGAAGTAGATCGGCGGCGATGTACAACAGTTAGCACTCAACACTAAAAAGAAGAAATTGAAAAGGACAACACCATTGAAGCTAAGAAGACCATTCTGTGAAGAAGCAGCAACTTTGTTAATTGTTTTTGTTGCAAATAGATTTGAATGTAATTCCCTTAAATTTTTAAAACAAAGAGTCCTTTTAGGTTGTAATAGGAAGTAATATGTAACTATTTTTATAGAGACCGGAACTCTACATCAATACTCATAGATATCATATTACCTTGCCTAAGGTTAGGTTGGTTCTCAGTTTTTCGATCGTTGTTCGCATATCAGTATTTCACATTAGTGCTCAATTAAATGTCAGATTTTCTACATCTACAACTTTCAGATCTAACTCCTTCATGCTCTTCTTTTTAATTTAATTCCTATTTGCTCTCATAACACAAGTAATTATGAAAACATGACGCAAATAAAGCAATTTATTAAATGACATATCCACCCATAAACTAAATTGCATTTCTGAGTGGATATCTCATCTTTCTTTTCAATACCAAATGCTTCAATAAATAGCAACTTATAAACGAAATAATATAACTTGTAACAAGTAATATAAAACTTTTAATAAAAAAGTTCAAGCCACAAACAATTAGTGTCAATAACAACTACCTTAACTTCATTGCGCTTGCTCTTTCAAGATTTTCTATAAACAAGAATCAATAACTTTCACCTTAATACAAAAAAATAGAGCACGCTATGCAACGGAGCCGGCTAATATCTATAACAAGAGTATACAATTTGAAGTCGTTAACGTTCATAAAAATGTACAGAATTGACAAAAGAGGGTAACATTCGATACACTACACAAGAGCAATAACTCTTGAGCCCTGCTATTCACATTCTCTGAGAAATAAAAATACGAGAGAAAGAGATACTAGAAAACTCGAACTAATCTCTTTAATATCTTCAGCAAACAATCATATCGAGGAGAAAATGGATTTGCTTTTAATCTCTGAAAATGCTTAAAGAATGTCTGATTCAATGTCAACCGATAGCTTCTCTAATGTCAAGAAGCTCAGCCTGTAAAGGGGATATATATATCCCATCCTTGGCAATGTTGTACCTACCATGAGAGAAGTGCTCTTAGGTTGAGAACTGTGAAGTTTAACTAATAGACTAAAAACATGAACTTTTAACCGATAAATCATAACTTATAAACCCCGTCGAAAATAATTACGAAAATGCCACCGCCAAAAAATAAGCCTGGAAACCTTGAAAATTTTTGGACGCGGTGGCATTTTCGTAATTATGATGGAGAGCTTTATAAGTTATGATTTATTGGTTATAAGTTCCTATATTCAGTTTAGAGAAAAGGGGCAAATAAGCCCACGCACTAACCAAAAAAGGTCAAATAAGCCCTTATATAGGAGGCTATGTCCGACCGTCGCTATTTGAGGCGGTTCCCGCTGGAAATTTTTTATGAAATTTTTTGAGTATATTATTCATTAAGTCTAGTTTACTCATACCAAATTTCAGCTAAAACTTCAATCGGTAAGGCATTCAAGTGAATTCTTGAAGATAACTGCGCAGTTAAAAGGGCTGAGATTGCTTCTCACATCTCATTTTAAGATGGACTTCTCACCTGATCTTTTCTCTCTATATATATATATATGATGGAGTATATGGACTCTGACCCCCCGGTCTGCCGACTACTGGGCCTGGACAGCGTTCCACACACACGTTTAGCGGATATCATTCATATTATTGTACATTATTATTATTCAGATGTTCTAGATTAGTTTTTTGTACTATATGCCCATTTATGTAACCGGGTCTGTCAGGCCCATATTAAAAGCCAAAACCCGAATTTTCCCTATATATACTCCTTATAGGAGGCTATTGAACCACAACCAATATTGATTCATACACAATACTTCTTCTCTTCTCCATATTCTTTATTCAATCTCTCCTAGTTTATACAATATGGGTATCAATTATCCAACAATGGTGCTCTCGTTGAGAGGTTTGAACACAATCAAATGAGAAAACCTTCCCAAAAACAACAAAAAATTCACCCAAAACAAAAAAGGTCTGGATATCAGCAAAAAGAAGAAAAATTCTGTAATTTTGATCTGGGAGAGCTCCAGATCTACCACCGGCAGCACCAAACCTGGGCGCCTGGCGGTCCAACTGACCAAGTTCACCGTCGGAAGAGGTTAATCAAGTTCGCCGTTGTAGCCACGCCGGACCTCGCTGCCACCGCTTTTGCAGACCTTACCGCAACCAGAACACTGGAGACGGCCAATCCGGGTGACCTCACAAACCCAGCTCCTCAACCCATCCGCAGCAGAAAGGAAGGATTGAAAAATTTCAGATCTAGAATACGTTGGGTCTCGGAGGAGGTGTCAGCGTGCATCGGCTGACGTTCTTCGCCGCAGGCCCAAGTCAGGCGGCCGCTGGCCCATTGCATCGGATCTCTGGCCGCAGCTCTGTACATAGGTCGCAGGTCGGACGCCTTTAGCGGCAGACCTCGCTACCTCCCCAGCCCGCAGACCGGACCTCCGACCCCGTCGCCGCTCAACTTCGAGCCAGGTGAGTCTCCGCCATTAATGGTGGCTTGGAGCTATATAAATGTGTATTTGAAGTTCAGCCGGTCTTCCACCTTAGGCTAGACCCCGTGATCATCCTTGCACCATGGCAACCTCCCTGACCACTGCTAGCAAGCGGCTAGCAAGCAGCCAGCAAGCGGTCAGCAAGCCGGTTTGTCCTTTGCTTGGCCAACGGGTCTTTCATACGGAGGTAGTATGTCTTTCCAAAGGATACTCCATATATAATTCCTTGGTTCTCAGAGGGCCACGTTTGTAGAGATGCCAACAGCCTCCCATGCTCTTGGTCGGATAGATGAGGGCCCTCCATGATTTGACCGGTCAATCAGACTCCCATGCTCTTGGCCGAAGTCAGCCCACTTGAGAAAGATACGTATTTTTTTTAATTTTCATACTCCGTATTATTTATATTTATTTAAATCATTTCTTTTTGTCGGGCGAATGTCACACTGTCACGCACCTATGATCAAATGCCTAGTAGAGTGTGGTTTGAGACCCATCACTAGGATTTAAGGCCCTGACTCTCAGGCACAAAGCCCTGACTCTCAGGCATGAAGACCGGTCTTAGTCATTCCAAGAGTGGCGACCGTTGCGTACGAATGGCTCACACCTCCACTCTACTAAGTATTTTATCATTACATCAACAATTCGCATTTTCACTTTTTTCAAGTGACGAACTCCCGATCGGAAACATAAACCCCAAAAACAAAAATTTTATATGCATGTTAAATGTGTAGGTACGAAGATGACTTTACTCATTTTTCTCCTCGTCTCCACTCAAGGAGTGGGGGACTGGGAGACTGAGAGGTCAGATTTTCTGGATGAGCGGCAAATATCACGCATGAGCAGGAACGAGAGCTAAGTCAGATGAAGACATGTTGAACTAGACAAAAGTGATTATGCCGGAAGGGACCTACCTTCCTTGTTTCATGTTGGGGGCGTTAGGTGTACTCTTTTTCCCTTTATTACGATTTTTTCCCACTGGGTTTTTTCCTAGTAAAGGTTTTTAACGAGGCACCTCCCCATCATTGACAAGGGTGGCGGTCCTCCGGCCAAAGAGGAAGAAATCAAAGACAGAAGAACGTTGCAGATACACTTTGGACTACTCCCTTTCGCCTCGAGTACTCTCGACTCAGGGAGTGGGGGACTCCTGATGGAGTATATGGACTCTGACCCCCCCGGTCTGCCGACTACTGGGCCTGGACAGCGGCCCACACACACGTTTAGCGGATATCATTCATATTATTGTACATTATTATTATTCAGATGTTCTAGATTAGTTTTTTGTACTATATGCCCATTTATGTAACCGGGTATGTCAGGCCCATATTAAAAGCCCAGACCCGGATTTTCCCTATATATACTCCTTATAGGAGGCTATTGAACCACAACCAATATTGATTCATACACAATACTTCTTCTCTTCTCCATATTCTTTATTCAATCTCTCCTAGTTTATACAATATGGGTATCAATTATCCAACAATCAGTGATGAAAGGGTGAAGGGGGAACCTCAACCCCTTAGCGAAACTCATCGGGTATACTCCAAAGTATCCCGGTGGCGGAAGAAGAACATGGTCCGTCGGCCTGGGTGCCCTAACCCGCCCGAACGGCCCCACGTACATCTGGGCAACAAGATAGTCGGCCGCGCTGCTCTCCGGCTTAATCAGGAAGATGTTGGTGAGATCCAGGTAGGAGAGGCCCGACCCACTCTTCGGCCTCCTCACCCTCTTCGGCTTATCTGCTCCCTTCACGGCAGGCACCGGCCTCAGGCAGGGAATGACAGCGGAAGTGGACGCCCCGTCCACCACTCGGGACGCACCTGCGTCCTCACCTTTTGAAGAGGCGGACTCCTCATCCTCGACTTCGTCGTCCACCGGCTCCTCGGACTTGTAAGGACTCAAGTGTTGTATCTCCTCCTCGAACTCCTCGAGCACCTCATAGTCAAGTGACCTCGTGGAGGGCTGGTCGTCGTAGGGATAGTAGTCTTCGTTCAAACTCTTCATCATAACTACTACTACGAGCCTAAGGAGATTAACCTAGGATCTAAGGGTGTTCAAACGCCTAACACTAGATCACTAGCCTAGGAAGCAAAGTATGAAAAGTGAGGAAGATTGCGATGAACACTAACCTTGAACACGAAGAACAAGCTTTGGAGTTTATCTCTCTAGAAAATTGGCCAGCACTTCGACAAATTCAGAATGCAAATACGTTTTCTCGTCGGAGGGGGAGGGGTATTTATAAAAAACCCCACCCAACGGTCACTACACGTGGCACCCTCCCAATGGCCACATCAGCGGTCACCAATGGGAGGCCACCACGTCACCAACGGGCCAAACTCAATGTCAACAGCCCACTGGCAAGACGGACTCTACGGCCTATACACGTGCCGGCTTCACGAGTGCCAGCAAGCGCCCACATCGTCCTACTTGCTCGCCATCGCCCACAACGTCCTACTTGCTCGCCAAGATCACAAATACCAAACAATGAGGGGATGTCAACGGCTAGGAACGTAATGAACGCCCGTAACGGCCACAGAACAAAAGGAACAAAGAGCCCACAGCCATCGGCTCCTCGTAATGACCCTTGATGATAACTCTATACAAGCGATCTGCGCACAAGGGTTCTCCCACAGGGTTACCTTGGCCAGAAAATCGCCATGAGGGTTGGATTCAGGGGGACTACGGAGAGGTCGCCTCGGCCAGGGACTCAAGCAACTCCTTCACCCCTCACACTCTTCGGCCTGAAGCAGTGGGGGACTGGGGGACTGGGAGACTACATCGGCCTCAACAAAACAAAGAGGAACAATACAAAGAACATGAATGTAACCACAAAACATGGCCACATCGTCCACGCATCACAATGGACACATCGGCCAGAGGCACATGACATCATCAACAACGACCAAAAGGAGTGCGCGAGCACCCTCATCGGCCACCCAAAGGAAAGGACGTCATCGTCCTCAAAGCAAGGAACAACCTCAACGGCCTCATCGGCCCAAACATAAACTTCAACCACCAACGTCCAGGAAAGGGAAAGCATGCCTTCAACGGCCATTGAAACAAGACACTCATCATCCTCAAATGAACACATTAAGGAAACAACGGCCTCTCCGCCCACAGCGAGGAACAGGTAACGGCCAAAGCACAGAACAGGATCACCAAAGAGGAAACAACGCCAACGCCGCAACGGCTAACGGCCTGGGGATGCCCGCATCGGCCAAAAGCACTAAAGCACGAGAATCTACTCTCCTTCAATTCGTCTACGTCTCAGCTTAGAGAGTGGGGGACTCCTGATGGAGTATATGGGTCTGAGCCCCCGGACCCACATACTCGGAAGAACAGGAAGCACAAGACACAGAGTGGCGCCCTCGTCGGCCAAGACGCCCCCGTCGGCCGAAAAGGGGCCAACTCAGATTATGGTCCTGAGCCCAAGGAACCCGGGTGCCCTCGTCGGCCGTGCCCTCGTCGGCCACGCCCTCGCCGGACCCGAAGACCTCACAGAACCGGATTTTAAACTTATTCATTTGTACAGCCCATTAGTGGCTTTGTATTCGGCCCAATAGCGGTCCAGTTGTAAGTGGGCCTCCCAAGCCTAAGGTTTGGGAGGCCAGCCCGTATTTTCTCTATAAATACTCCCCTTGGGAGTAGTTATAGGGGTTACAAAATCATTCTATTGAAGCATATTATTGCACTTCTCTCTCTAGCTCTCACCTCTCTCTAGATATACTCTATCAATATATATACATACATACATACTCTACATATATATTTTAACCCCCGGAAGGCAAACCACCAAAATCAGTGGGACAAATGCCGGGGGACATTTGTCGGGTTTTATTGAAGAAGCAGAAAGATAACAAAAAAGAGGGGGACTATGTCAATACCTCTTTCAACAATTAATACATTTTAAGTCATAAATCTAAAAGAAGGTAAACCAAATATATCTAAAGTAACAGCTCTCTTAACAGGCCCAGGTAACAAATTAAGATCAGTCCAATGCCTAAAATGGGCTGAAGAAAAACGAGCAAGCAAATGGGCCGGCTCGTTAACCTCACGCAAAATGTGTCTGAAGCGGATGCCTTTCCTAAAACATAACCTCCTGAAGTCATCAATCTCCTCCATCCACCGATCCTTCTTCCTACCTGAAACGTAATCCACAATCTCCCTAGCATCGCTTTCAACCTGAAAACTTCCATATCCTTCGTCAATAGCCCACGTAGTTGCTCTTAGGAGTGCAAGCAGTTCTGCGTGATGACTGGAGCAAGCTACGATGGGAAAAGAGATAGCTCCGATGATAGCTCCCAGTTCATTTCTCAAGATTGCGCCTCCGGAAGCTTTTCCAGGTAAATACGCCGCATCGACGTTGAGTTTAATACCTCTCTTAGGTTTAATCGATCGAATAGGTTGAATAGCCATATTAGATTTAAAGTTACTGGGGATGAGATTTTCTTCAAAAAGAATCTTATCAATGGAGCAAAATTTAGAAGAATTAAAACTCTGGACCCAGGTTTGAGTATATAGCTTGATTCTCCAGATAATACTTTCAACCGTAGGGATAGAACAAGAAGATCCCCAGATTAGATTACTGTAAACCTTCCAAATATGCCAACTGATAATGCCCGGAAGATTATGTCTAAAAACATCTGTGAGGGTTTTGCTTCCTGCTTCAAGCCACCAAACAAAGAAAATATTTCTGATTGAAAAAAGATTAGTGGGGATAACAATATTCAAGATCCTGGAGAAGTAATTCCAGATACTCTTCGAGAAAGAGCAATCATAAAAAATATGATCAGTAGTATCATTACTCCTTCTACAAATAGGGCACATAGAGGGCTGAAGCACCATCTGGAATCTTTTAAGATTGTCTGAAATAGGTAAAATACCTCTAAATAACTTCCATTGAAAAAGCTTCACTTTAGATTGTTGTTTAGGATGCCAAATATGTCTGTATGAAAAAGCAGATCCCTGAGAGTGTCTACTGACATTAAATGCAGATTTGAAGGAGAAGAGACCATCAGAAGAGGGTAACCAAATCAGTTTCTGAGCATTAGAAGTGTCAGTCCAGGAGAGAGCAAAATCATTGATTCTGCATACTCTTTTCCAGTTTGGAGAATCAGTAAGTTTAGGCTGCATATCATTCCCTCTCTGATATTTGTTGTGCATAAATTGGGACCAAGAATCAGAATGTGATTTCCACTTCCACCAAAGTTTTAAAGAATGAGCTTTTTCAAGATCTTTAATAGATCTTATGTCCGATCCCCCTTCTTCTTTAGGATAACACATCTTGGACCAAGTAATCCAATGATACTTAGGTTTGTCATTATCAGATCCCCAAAAGAAATTGGCAAGCTTCTTATTTAAAATCCTTTTAATTTTCTGTGGCAGAAGGTCAACAGCTAGAAAGTGCATTGGGATAGAACCTAACACATGTTTGATCAAGATAAGTCTCCCTGTCTGACTTAAATTCTTTTGCTTCCAAGTAGAAAGCTTAGCATCAAACTGTTGAATAATATGGTGACAATGCTGATGTCTATTTATACCCCTGTGTAGGTTAGCTCCAAGGTATTTCAGAGGAAGAGTGGTTTTGTGAAAAGGAGTAGAGTAGTTGCGTTGCTGTTATGGGCCGAAGGCTGACGCTTTTCGTTTCATTTTGGGGGGATGCCTCGTTAAAAACCTCATTAGGGAAAACCCTGTGGGAAAAAATCCTAATGAGGGAAAAAGAGTGCACCGAATTCCCCCAACGATGAATCGAAAATGTGAAACCTTGGTCAAAAATGGAGAATAACGGTAATGCCGAAGGCTCTCCTTTTCCTGAGGGCTCATGTGTTGATTAGCCGAAGGCTTGCTGTTGATGTCCTGGGGGGTGCCGAAGGGGAGCCCCTCAATCTGGGGATCGAGGGCGCGATGGATGAGGGCAGTGGTTGAATTGTCACCGGGGGGTCCCCTGCTTGTTGATTAGTTGGTGATGGGGATATCCGGGGGCTCCTATTACCTGTGTGCCGTAGGCTATCCGTCAATGAGGCATACTCCCCGGGGGCTACCCGGTCCTTTCAGTGCTGAGGGGGAATCCCTGAGGGGTGGCCTGATATGAAGCCTTGGGTTTCTGAAGGAGTGATGCCGAAGGCATCTGTTATGTACTGTGTGGGGCACAAACCGGGGGCGTCTCTGGGTAATTGTACCCGGAGGCTCTCCTTGATGAAGTGGAGTGAAGTAAGAAAATCCGGGGGCTCCCAGAATATAGCCGTTGGAAATATAGCCGTTGGAATATGTAACGTCAGGTTATAGCCGTTGGGGGGGGGTACACGTGGGGTGTAGCCGTTGGCTGCTCGTGGGCGGGCGTCACCGGTTGGGTGAAACGACGGTGCGTAATGATGGCTTTGGCCGCTGGGAGCCCGGATCTCGGCCCAAGCCCGGATCTGGGAGCCTATA